GGCTGAGCGTCCATAAGGTTATGGTTAATATCACGCTGCAGTAGGGTGAGTTGTGAGTTAGTTAAAGGTTTTGAAGAGAGATTACATACCAACTCATTAACAAAACTGTTATATTGGGACTTACGTATAGCATCCATCTTGCGTTGGAGATGTGTTGTTGTTTTCTGACTCGTTCTTTTTGCCACCATTTTGATGTGGTAGCTCAAGGCCTGGAAATGCTGTTCCGATAATGCTGAGTCACAACGCTGTCGATGTTTCTGAATACATTTTTTCGATGGGCTCCCCCATCTCCAGTATTGTGGCTGAGGTGGTCCTCCAGCAACTTGAACATAAGGCTATGGCTTTATACCAACCCAAATTTTGGGTGAGGTACGTGGACGACACGTTCGCTGTTGTCAAAAGACAACATGTAGCTGCATTTATGGGAATATTGAATTCCATCTACTCTGATATAAAATTTACTGTGGAGGAGGAAAAACATAACACCCTTGCCTTCTTGGATGTATCTATCCATCGCCAATTGGATGGATCCTTACATACAAAAGTGTTCCGCAAACCAACTCACACAGACAGGATCCTCCATTATCAGAGTAATCATCCAGTTTCCCATAAAATCAGCTGCATTAAAACGTTATTTACATTTTACGTACGGATGAGTATAGGAATGAAGAGAGGAGACACCTCTTTCGCATATGCCGCTATAACGGTTACCCATTAAGATTCATCAGACAGCATAGTGTAACAACCCATCTTCGGGCCAACCAACGTAGAGAAGAACCCTCCTTACAGAGAACACGCATCTCCCTCCCATACATTAACAATATCTCAGAGGCCACGGCCAGATTGCTGGCCCCCCATGGAATAGAGGTGGCTCACAAGCCAAATCAAACTCTACGGTCTAAAGTCATGCGCCCAAAAGACCCCCTACCTCCTATGGAGAAATCATCTGTTGTCTATAAGATGAATTGTAGGAATTGCCAAGGCAACTATGTGGGGGAAACAGCCAAACGCCTGAAGACTCGTCTCCATGAACACCAATTGGCTATAAAACAGGGCGAGCAGCATTCACAACTTTGGATGCATATGGCGCAGGAGGGCCACCAATTTGACTTTGCTAATACCTGTATTGTAGCCAGTGATGCCACGAAGGGAGGCCAGCTACTGAAAGAGGCCTGGTTCTCGAATGACAGCTCAATTAATCGTCGCATTGACTTGCATCCAGCGCAACAAGCGTTGTGGAAATGGGACTCAAATTATCACTCATTACATCGCAAACGATCATACCAACACTTGCGGCATTATGGACAGGAAGCCGCATCGCCCCCGCCGTCGGGAACGCCTACATATGGACGTAAATAACTATACCATCAACACCCCCTTGCCAGGTGACCGGCGCCAAATCGTGCGGCGAGAGAGTCTCCCACCCCAGCATGTGGACGCTGGAATAGAGGCTGCGGACTCCCCGTGCACGGAGAAAGAGAGGGGCGCCCGATACGGACGATCTACGCACTGCCCAACAACCCCATGTGAGGCTCACACCCCCCCAGGAGGGAGGAAGCGATATAAGTGGAGCCGGAACACCTAAAAGACTTAATGTTAAAATCTCGGAGTGTACGGTTGCCCATAGCAACGAGGAGGAGCGTCCCACATGGAGAGGGGAGAGAAAGCATAGAATGACAACCCGCTTGATCAGTAAGGGGAGGAGTAATGAGAGTGGTTTGAGTGCCAAACAACGGGAGGGAACGGATGTAAGGAAGACTGGGGTGGAGAATAAAGACATGATTGCTGAGGCATACCATACTCAGATAAGAGCTGTTGACACGACAAAGGAGGAGAGAGGTATACAATTGGGAAGGGATATTAACCCACAGTTAGTGGAACCCTATCCCCATAAGACACAAGAAAACATCAGATCGAATCCTCCCCCCGATACGGCAGGCGTTGGTATTATCGGAAGAGGAGGGGATGTAAGGTTACTAACGCCTTCAAAGACCAACAGTGGAGGGATAGGGAAGGGCATCCGAAGAAAAGAACATAATGTTATAGACACATCTTGGTTATCAGCTGGCCAATTAGGGCCAGTAACACGGTCTAGGAGCCGTGCGCAAACGTTACTTGAACCTACTTAAACCACCTTTATTGCAATGGCCTTTTAGCCCTGACGATGCTGGGGAGTTCCCCCAGTGAAAGCTTGGTAACTTTTTAGTATAAGTATAGTATATTTTTAGTAAAGTATTCTTACTTCAACCCTCCCGGTGATCGTGTTTTATTCTTTTATTCATAATTATGCCCGGGAGTCGCATTTTTACCAATATTCTTGAATATACATATGTACACACACACACACACACACACAGGTCTTGGTGTATTCAGGTCTTTTCCCGTGTAAGATTGAGAGCATCCTGGTGACATTTCGACGAGGTCCCACTCGTCATCTTCAGGCTGGGGTCTTCGGCTTCGTGCTTGTGCAAGCAAAGTGTGATTGGAGCTGCCGTCTCTCTATATATATTGGTGGGGGTGTGTGGAGTGCTGGCTTAGTTGCTGTAGGTGGATTAGTTGGCTGTGTAGGAGCTATTGTTGGTGGATTGTTTGGCTGTTTCATAACACCCTGAGTAGTTGAGGTGCAGGCTGTGTGCCCATTGATCTTTTGTGTTGTAATGACCTGGGTAATGGGTTGTGTGATGACCTCCTGAGATCTAGTGTAGTGATATCCTGAGTTCTGTGTTGCACCATCCTGAGTGGTTGGCTGTGTTGTTAGATCCTGAGTTTAGCATTGCAGCCTCCTGAGTTCTGTGATGTGATGTCCAGGGCTGAAGGCTGTGAAGTAACATACCGGCCTTTGCTTTGGCTCCGGGTTTGCGGTATAGCTCTGTGTTCATGGCGTGTGTCCGCTTGCTTTGTGTGGGGGTCAGAGGGAGGTGTAGTAGCTGGTGATGTTATCATGGTTTGGTTTCTGGATGGTGGTTGCATTTCGTCTGAGGGATGGGTTTGAGCTTGGGTCTGGTGAGGGTGAATGGTGGTGGCGTACTGTGTTGGGCTGGACATCACATCACAGAACTCAGGAGGCTACAACGCTAAAGCTCAGGATGTTACAACACAGCCAACCACCCAGGATGGTGCAACACAGAACTCAGGATATTGCTACAGTAGATCTCAGGATGTCACCATACAACCCATTACCCAGGTCATTACAACACAAATGACTAATGGGCACACAGCCAGCACCTCAACTACTCAGGATATTACAAAACAGCCAAACAATCCACAAACAATAACTCCAACACAGCCAACCAATCCACCTACAGCAACTAAGCCAGCACTCCACACAACCCCCCACCAATATATATAGAGAGACAGCAGCTCCGATCACACTTTGCTCGCATAAGCACGAAGCCGAAGACCCCAGCCTGAAGATGACGAGTGGGACCTCGTCGAAACGTCGCCAAGATACTCTCAATCTTACACAGGAAAAGACCTGAATACACCAAGACTTGCATACCTATACCCGTGAAAATCTACTAAAACAAATATACATACATACATACATACATACACCGTATATTCTGGCGTATAAGACGACTGGGCATATAAGACGACCCCCATCTTTTGAGAAGATTTTTAGGGTTTAGAAAGTCATCTTATACGCCGGAAAATATGGTACAATACTGAATTTCTGTTTATAGATGAGCACAATAGGAGCTCCATTCCTTTGCTGCTAGAAAGTGAGTGTTGCCCACCACTGCTTCCTTAATGCTTCCTGAACTCAGCTGGTAGTTTTTTCCCCATATATTTTATTGCTTTTTTAAAATATAAATCACTTAATAGTTGGTAAACAGTGTGTTTGCTGGGTTTACATTTGTAAAGAAAAATCATTAACAATTGGTTTCTATAATCTATAATCCACATAGTACATTTAGTTGATTTCCCCTTTTCCCCAAAATGTCTTCTTTGCAAACCTTGAAATAATATAGTTCTTATTATTTTGATAAAATATATTTAATCTTTAAATATTCCATTTAATGTGCCTAGTCAGCTAATCCTTTAGGTCTTATTCAAAACATTTTTTCTTTTTTATACGTTATAATTTCCCTAAATTCAGACACATTTAATTATCTAAAACATTACTTCATCTAGGCCATTTCAGCAGTATTATATTACTTATATCAAGAAATAAAATAAAAGGGGGGGAAAGCATACAGTATTATTTAAGGAATTCATCTCTCTTAGAATGACATATGTATTCAGAATCTTTTATGTTTCTTTAACCATATTCAAACAAATGTTTCTTTTTTAAATATTCTCTCTGGTAGATCCCATCATCTATTTTCTTAATTTTCACTTTGACCAGTATCTTTCTTAATCAATTGATTTGCTGAATCAAAATTTTTTTCCATATATTCATGACTGCTGCTATAGGTATAAGAAGTAAATCAAATGTGGTTTTTTTGTAGATGTAATGTCCTTAATTTATACAGCTTACTGTTTTCTACTATTTAATTGCTTTTCCTGAAAAAGAATAAAGTGATGGACAATGTAGAAAAATGGGATTTTTGAATGCTTTGTCCTGCTGGCTGTGGAATTCTGGGAGTTGAAGTCCACATGCCTTAAAATTGTCAAGGTTGAGAAACACTGTGTTAGTGCTTATTCACTGTGTTAGTGCTTATTTCTGTAAAAAAAAAAATAGGGCTGGCCACTAGGGGGCACATTGGTTTTAAATTCAGAGAACAGCTACCCGGCGTATAAGACGACCCCGGACTTTTGAGAAGATTTTCAGGGTTTAGAAAGTCATCTTATACGCCGGAAAATACGGTATATATATATATATGTATGTATGTATGTACGTATGTATGTATGTATGTATATATCAATAAAATATAGAAAAAACAAACACCAGGATAAAAATAAAACAAACCTATTTAATACAAACAAGTTTGTAAGTAAAAGAATTACAAGCTTTCATCGGCCCGACTGCTGACATCATCAGGGTTGGAATGTTAGGTGATTAGAAAGCTTGCCTATATAGCTACCTGTCTCTGCACCCGGCTTCTCGAGCTCATAATCGGCCCATTAGTTGTATTACTCTGCAACGTGCTAAGTTGATTCACATCCAGCAGCCTGTTGGTGGGTAGGCAAGGCGGATTGTATGACATGTGTGAGTTCTGGCACCTTTTTTTTTTTTTAAGAAAAAAAGCACTGTGTATATCTCTATATATATACATATACATATTTCTAAAATTTGGATTGCTAGCAAAGAATTAAGGGAAAACTGGAATAGCTATTTCGAACTCTTTAGTTCTTTTCAACCAGACATACCCTTCTGAGATTTGAACCTGGGCTGTCTGCATGTTAGGCAGCTGTATTAAACCTCTAGGCCACAGGCTCTTTCTCACTTTTGCCAGCTGTGTTAGGGAGGGAATACATATATATTTACACACACACACACACACATATCATAAAGGTAAAAAAGGATATATGCAGTGTTATCTTCATTTTAGATGTCAAAAGGGTCTCTGTGTGTGTGTCTCTCTCTCTCCCTCCCTCTCTCTCTTTCTGCCCTTGGTCCGCCAGTCCTCTTCCCCCACTCTCTTTCTTTCTTTCTCTCTCCCCTCCCCCTCTCCTGCTCACCTGGCAAGCTGGCTTCAAGCTGTTTTCCAACAAGCTCAGGGGTAACTCGGCTCTTTTATGACTCATGGACTTCAACTCCCAGAATTCCTGAGTCAGTATAGCTGGGCTAGCTAGCTCTCTCCTGCCCCTCCTGATCATCAGGAATGGAAAAATAAAGAGTCCTATGGCAGGGCATGCAATAAAGTACTGCAAATTATAATTGGGCCTGATTAATACTGGAGAGACGAATGCCATTTAAAAGTTTGGTCCCGCCTGCAAACTCAGTATTAACTACTTTCCTCCACTGTATAAAAAAGAGATTTCTAATGTTTTTTGGCTAATGGTACAAAATGACTGTTTGCTATCATAAAAGTGTTTCTACCATGGATGTGGCAAATAGAAAAGGCCCAGTGATCACAAATACAAATGGGGCAAATAGAAAAGGCCCAGTGATCACAGTGATCTTCAATTTACAACCATTCATTGATGTTTGTTCAAAATTACGTCAGAAAAAAGTGACTTATAATCTGTATTTGCATTTATGATCATCACACCACCATCACCCCAGTCATGTGATTGCAACTGAGGCACTTGACAACCAGCTCATATTTATGACAGATTACAACATCTTGCAAAGCACTAGAAGGCATAACAAGAAGGCATTAACAAGAATGGATGGAAGCTAATCAAGGAGAGAAGTAACCTGGAACTAAGGATAAATTTCCTGACAATGAGAACAATTAACCAGTAGAACAGCTTGCTTCAGAAGTTGTGGGTGCTCCATCACTAGATGCTTTTAGAAAAAGATTGGACAGTCATTTGTCTGAACTGGTACAGGATCTCCTGTTTGAATAGAGGGTTAGACTACAAGATCTTCAAGGTCTCTTCCAACTTTATTATTCTGTAATCTGAATGGGATTTATGACCATTTTTGCCGATTTCCCATTGGGGAAGTTGAATTTGTGTAACAATTGCTTTATTCACTTAAAAAGTATAAATTGCTTAATGGCCACCATAAAATTTATTGTAAAATCAGGTCCAATTTGATTTACAACCATAATGTATGACAGAAATTCTGATCCCTATTGAGGGTGTAAGTCAAGGACTACCTGTATAGACAGGGTTAGAATCTAAGCCTTCAGGACTTTCGGTTCGTCATGCGGCTGCCATGGAAGGCTGGGAGACTTGCTCTCTCTCCCCTGTTCAGTTTTGCTTCGCTGGGGTACCCTGAAAAGGGCCAAAAGTCGCCCCGAAAAGGTGACCAGCAAGGAGGGGCTTTGCTGGATCGTGGGAGAGCAGCAACTCTCCCATTAGCACAGGCGATCCTTCCAAACCGGCGGACGAAAGGACCGGCCATAGAAACATGGCTCGTCCCTAGGCTGCTAACAGCTGAAGTGGGTGAGGTTTACCTCTCTTACATCCTAATTACTTAATTACCTGCATAAGCTGCTAAAGTACTTTCCCCCCTGTGGTGAGGGAAAGGGTTTTTTAACCCTCCCTCCAGAAACAGCGGCAATGATCCACCTGGGAGTTTAAAACGTTGGAAAAATACTGGGATCCTAATTGGAATTCTAGTTCCTAAAATTGGTGGATTATAAGACTTGTAACTTTCTACTCTCTGTATTTTTTTTCTCTGATTTTTACTCCAATTACTATTGAAGATTTGGGGTTTATTCCCCTTAAAATGGGGGGGGGACTGAAAAGATACAACTAACTCTGAGATGTAACCTGTTATTCTTTAAGAGAGACTTGTTGACAGCTTTGAAAATAGATAACATATAAAGCAACCTTGAAGCACCATCTGCAAGAAATTCAGCTCAGTTCCTCACTTGGTGGACTTTCTGACTATAAGTTTTTTTTTTTTAGTTTAATATACTACAATGGAAGAAGAACAGGAATTTATTTCTACTACAGAGGAAGCACAGGAACAAATTCTTTGTATGTTAAAAGCAATTATCCAAACTCTATGTATAAGTCTGGATATGCAAACTCAAATTATGATTTCAACCAAAGAATCATCTATACAGAATTCTATAGAGAAAGTGAAACAACCAAATGCTATGACAGAAGACTTAGATCAGTGGTGGCGAACCTATGGCACGCTTGCCATAGGCGGCACGCAGAGCCGTCCCTGTGGGCGTGCACGCCATTGCTGGGCTCCTCCCCCTCCCTGTGTGTGCGCAGTACGGGAACAGCTGCAAGAGCTGGGCAGGGTGAGGGAACCTAAAAGGAGTTTTGGCGGGAGAGTGAGTGAAATCAGAGCAGCCATCTCCCTTCCGCAGCGCAGCCCCATCGGCATGAGCAGAGACGGCCGCGGGACAGCCAGGAAGGAGCCCTCACCTGATGCGGGTCCTGTCTACAGGGTGGCTCTGATGGGGATGGCTGCTCTGAGCCCCTTGACTGGCCAACCACACAGAGAAGCAGGAGGCAGCAGCGGTGATCCCTGCATGGCCAAGCCCGGCCAGCTGCAGATCTGGAAGCAGAGCTGTGCCAACCATCCTCACACTGGTGGGGGCAGTGGTGGGGGAAGGTGAGCTGTGGCACACACCCTCCACTCCCCGCCTGGAGGCGCACGCGGGACAATGTGTGGCAGCAGCAGCAAAGGGTGCCTGCATGCCAGATCCTGCCTCCCCCTGCCACCGTCGCCAGAGCGAGGATAGTCAGCACAGCTTTGCTTCTGGATCTGCTGCCTGACACTATTGGCTCCCACACACAGAGGCCAGCGAGCGCATGGGGGCTGACGGTGTCTGTCAGCAGCCACAGCATGTTGGCTGTCCTGCATAATGGCAGACTGGCCATAGCACCCCATCGGTGCGGGCGGGAAATCACTCCGGGATAGCCAGAAAAAAGCCTTTGTCCGGCCTGGGCGCATCTGACGGAACTGATGGGAGTGGCTTCTGCTGCTGCTCTGACCAGTCAGCCCTGCAGGGAAGCAGGAAGCGGCGGAGGGGCAACCGGGGTCTGGAGCCACCTTGGCTGCAGGGATCATGGCCATCGCCTCCTGCTTCTCTGTGTGGTTGGCCAGTCAAGGGGCACAGAGCAGCCGCCACCCCCGTCACAGCTACTCTGTAGACAGGACCCGCATCAGGTGAGGGCTCCTTCCCAGCCATCCTGGAGCTGTCTCCACTCACATTGATGGGTATGCCATGATGCAGGAGGTTGTGGCTGCTGACGGACACCAGCGGCTCCCATGCGCTCACTGGCCTCTGTGTGTGTGGGGGCTGATGATATCAGGCAGCAGCTGCTCCACCCCCTGCCTTGCCTTGCCTTGCCTTGTGGCAATTGGCACACCTGCCCTGCTTCACCTTGCCTCACCCCACAGGATGAGCCTCCGGTCCAACGTCCCACCCACCAGAGACCCCTGGATCACCACCAACCCTGCCCGGCCCCCACAAGCATCCCTCCCCACAAGCATCATCGGGGTGGCTATACCTACCGTGGCCATGCCCACCCAGTCGGCCGTGACCATCGAGGCCACATCCACCCAGTCAGCCACACCCACCCGGCACCCAGCGATAAATAAATGGGTTTTGGATTGCGGTTTGGGCACTCTCTAAAAGGTTTGCCACCACTGACTTAGATACTCAACAAATACAGACAATGGAAAACACAAAAAAGAAACTGATAATAGAGAACAAGGAAAGGACTTTTCTTATAAATCAGGAATTTGAAGATAAAAAAGAAAAACAGATGAAAGAGAAGATAAATACCTCGGGACAACTGCATCGAACTGGAAAAACAAAGAGACAACCTGCTAAATCAGCTGGTCCTCTTAAGAAAACCTCAACTGGACGCTCTTATCAACATCAAACAATAGCCACAATAATACAAGGAGATCTTTTTGATGATTTAAAAGCAAAGATACGAAAAATGACCTGGCAGAGAAAAAAGGCTAGAATAAAATTGAAAAAAATTGGGGTTTTGATCTACACATGAGATCTAAAATAAAATATATCTAAATGCATAGAATATGTATTCTGAACACAAGATATTGTAATGATTTGAGATAAAGAAAATTTTGGTCATATAAAATCTAGAAATATAAATATTGAAATAAGAATATACTGTTTTATTAGTTTGTTAAGATAGATGGTAGAATTTATATATAAGGGGTATACTTTAAATATTAGATTGTATGAGGAATTGTGATAAAAGAATTGTGCTTAATTAAAAATTTGGAAAAAAAATAAAAATAAAATGTTAAATTAAAATATTAAGGGAAAATTAACCATCAGGTCACTGATTGACTAAAAGTTTGGATGTTTACAAATAACTAAGATTTGAATTTAAGATACTGTTTTGAGTTGAGACAAAGGTTAAGTAAAACCTAGAAGTATATATACTAATAATTACATTTGTATATGGGTTTGTGGTACAAATGCTGGTGGATTTATTTTTTTTTTTTCTAGAAAGGAAGAAAGGAAGGAAGTAGAAGGAAGAAAAGAAAAAAATTATTAGCCCCAAATATGAGATAGGAGACTTAGAAATTGGGATCCTTTAAAATCGGGAAATGATAAAGATTAAACATTACTTAAATATCAATGGGAAATTAAAGTTAAGAAAGACTTACTAGGTTATTGTCTAAAAGATGGAATATCAAATTAATTAAGATATGTATAGACTGAAGATTATTGATGAATACTAGAAAGGTATTTTTTATCTGATTGATAGAATAAGAAATTTATTGGTTCGAATATGATAGTAGATATTATGGGGGAAAGAAAGGGAATTAGTTGTTGTAATACTTTGGGATTTGTACTGATAATATTCAAATGTAAGGGAATTACTGTGCTCAGCCACCACGCTACTCTCTCCTTGCTATATAACAGTCTCATTCATACCTTTTCAAATGATCTTTCTTTCTCTGTTTGATTGTTTCTTGGAAAGAGTAAGGAAAACAACACATAAAATGATGCTTGAAATCGATCAGGTAATTTGCGCGAAGCCATATTTCCTGTTGAAAAAAATACTACATATCAAGGAATAAGTTATGGTAATCATTCTATCTAAGCAGTCCCAACTAAGTTTTATGAAAAGCAGAATATTTTCATAAGCTACTGCAACAAGTTAAACAGTTTTCTTGCTAGGTATAACACAAATTATATAAATGCTCATTATTTTCTTTAATCAACTGAAAAAAATGATATTTTTAATTCTGCCAAACATTATAAAGCATACGGTAGAAGAAGCACTTTACAAAAAAAAGCCCTTATACGAATGAAAGCAAATATACTGTACATGTCCCAGGATAATGCTGCAGGATCCAATTTGGGTCAATCATTAGACCAGAGGTTTAGTCTTCCAAGCTTTTGGACTTGTGCTGAAGCCTATCCTCAGGAAACTTCTCTCTTACCAGAACATGTGGTGAGAGAGAGAAATTCCCTGAGGAATTCTGTTAAGAAAGAAGTCCCTTGAGGATGGGCTTCAGCACAAGTCCAAAAGCTTGGAAAATTAAAACCCTGGTCCAAGTGACCGACCCAAATTCGATCCTGCAAAGCCCTTACAATTACACTGTACTTGGACTACAGTGAGGCCACAGAAAGCTATGCTGAAATTCGATCAAAAGCCTCTGTTGTCTGCCCCTGAGAATGTTAGGCAAAAGATGCTATTTACCTAGAAGTAATAATTTTTTTTTAAAATGAAGGTTTCTTTGAAGGATTAATAATTCTTGTACCTGGGGCTTGTGTGTGAATCTGGGAGCTGTGGCTTTACAACCTTATTTCTAACCATGCAGCATGTATGTAACCCAGCTCTTGCTCTCCGAACACTCAGATCCCCTGGACTTTGAATTCTGAGTTGTCTGAGATATCTCTGACCATAATGCTCATTTAGCTTGTTTCCTGATCACACCCATAATTGTTCTTTGCACTACTTTAGTAAATATGCAATAAAACATTCCTAACTCTAAGTAATAGTATTTATAATTCTAATTAATTATTTTTTCTTAGGTTCAGCCCATAAATTTTCAGCCTGAAATTTGAAATCCTAATCCTGCTCCCCACATAAAATTTGCCTATTTTGAGGAAGAAAAACACTTTCTGGTCAGTTTAACATCAAATTTTCAGACAATCTAAGAAACTATTACAAGAAAAAGCTGCTTCAATTAGAAGCTGAATTGGTTAAAAAAAATATCATCTATATTTTGATAGAATCCTCAGAATAATACTTGTTAAAATTGTTTTCTATTGAGTACAAGACAAGCAGTATAAGGAAAATGGGTATTTATAACTGAAATATTTAAAATGAATATTATATTGTACAATTCATATAGGCTATGTAGCCTTTTCTCCTTTTCAGGAAAGAACATTTTAGTTTTAATTCAATATTTAAAAAGGAAATAATCTTTCTCTTAAATTCACATTATACATTCTGACTATTTGAAATTAATTTACTACCTAAACAGAGAAACTTTAAGGGTCTATTAAAAACTAACATATTTTTTCATTATATTTATATAGCAGACAACACTGTCAGAATCCAACTATGTTTCATCTCTAGTTATCAATTATAGAAAACCCCATTTCTGCCTTCTCTGGATTCTGCCCTACGAGGAAGGGAAGGGGGTGAACAAAGGGGCTTTATGGCTCTCACTTCCTTCAGTATACTTCAAAGGAACTGAATGTGTGTATTGCCAAAAGAGCTAACCATAAGAATGGGGCTATTGCCTTTCATGTAGTTTTCTTTGAAGTCTCCATCCAGCCGGCAGTAATGAAAAGGGGGTGGGAGTGTAATGCCTGAGACTGTCGCTGAAAGAGGGGGGTGATTGGGTGGGGCTACTGGGGAACCCCTTAAAACCTTGAATTGGAGAGCTTGGACCTCAAATCCTGTCTAGAACGCCTGCAACCATTTTCTCTTAATAAAGGATTCCTGTTGGAAGAATTATTCCAAGAGTTCTGTCTTCTTAAGATGCAAAGTGGGGTGGGTCCTTACATATGCACTTCCAATATTCATACAGTTTCAGCAATTTAACTTCTTACCATTTCATATGGATCTTTGTTTTGTCTTCCAAATTTCCACAGTAAATGAATGATACCAAGTACTGCCTCCATAATTTGCTGAGATCCAGGTTCCAGAATATTTCCAAGAACTGGAGTTGCAAGTGGTATAGGAGAGGCTTCAACCCAACAATCAAGCAGTAATGGTATTATTACTCGAATGAAACCTTTTAAATTGTTCATGGATGTCAGACCTTTTTCATCACTACTTGTCATGCTTAAAGACCTAAAAAACAAAGAGTTCAGTTTTTCTTTTCTTTTGTGTCCGAAATGTTTACTTAAAACCAAACATTATCAAATGTATTTAAGGGTCATTCCTAAGCATATTAACCAGAGCAAGACTTAGCATATACATACAAAATACATCAGCACACTAAATATTTCAGAACTAGTTAGTAAATAGTCCAGTTTACTAATAGCAGCCCAGAGTCACCTTCTAGGGAAAATGGGCAGCATAGAAATTTAATAAATATGTGCGCTTGTTTATACATTAGATTCACAATAAGAAATTTGGGGAGTTTTTCAATCTATATGTCTTTTCTGGCAGAATTAATAATGTTTTACATTTCCAGCAAACAGATAAAGTCTTTATATTCTTACTTTGGAAATATTGTCACAAATTGTCTTCTTTGCAAACATATTTTGCAAGGAAGAATGGGAATATTTAAAACATTCTATATACCCTACATATTCCCACATATTTTCTACAATAGCCAAGTCTGGAAGCTCGAAGGGCCATTCAAAATCTTTATTTTCTGTAAGAATTCAAGATCAATTTCGAAGTAGATTTTATAGAACATCTATATCAGCGGTTCTCAACCTGTGGGTCGCGACCCTTTTGGGGGTCGAATGACCCTTTCACAAGGGTCACCTAAGACCATCAGAAAAGACATATTTCCGATGGTCTTAGGAACTGAGACACAACTCTGCATCCGTCTCCGCATGGCCTCCTCCACCATTTGCAGAGAGAGAGAGACAAAGAGGCACTTTCGCTTCCCTTCTCTCTCTCTCTCTCTCTCTCTCTCTCTCTCTCTCTCTCTCTCTGACTTAAGTCTTATAGGACTCTTGATTGGTCCTGCGCTGGGGTGTCCCAGCCCCTGGGAGAAACGCGGCCAGGGCCTTGTGGCCTTGGAGCCGCCAAGGGAAGCCCCGGGATCCCTGCTGGGAGCGGCCCGCTGGAGGCTCCCCTGAGCGGGCCAGCTCTCCCGCAAGCCGCGGCCCAAGGGAGAGCAGCCCCTGCGATCCCCAGCCAACCTGACCATTTGATCCGCTGGCCAGGAAGACGTGCCGGAGTCCAGGCTGCCGGGAAGGAAGGAGATTCAGCAAAGGTAGGAGCCGCCTCCTGGGGCCCAGCGCTGGCGGCGGCTTCCTTGCCGTCCTCTTCCTCCTTTCTTCCTCCTACTGCCTCAAGGCGGCTCAGGCGGGCGCTGGGGCAAAAGGGGTGCCTAGGGGGGAGCAGTTGGGCTGGCAGAGGGGCTGGCAGGCTGCACGGCACCAGCCCCCACTGCAGCTCCATTGGACAGGCAGAGGGCGAGGCTGGGCAGCGCGGAGTCCCAGTTGGGGCAGCTGCAGCAGTTTTCTCGCCCTTCTCCTCTCCTTCCTCCTGCTGCCTCCAAGGCGGCTCAGGTGGGCACCTGGGCAAAAGGGGGGCTAAGGGCGGCTCGGGCGGGCGCGGGGGCAAAAGGGGTGCCTGGGGGGGAGCAGCTGGGCTGGCAGAGGGGTTGGCAGGGGCCGCACAGCACCAGCCCCCACCGCGGCTCCATCAGATGGGCGGAGGAGGGGACCGGGCAGCGCGGAGTCCCAGCTGGGGCGGTGGCAGGGGTTTTCTCGCCCTTCTCTCCTTCCTCCTGCTGCCCCAAGGTGGCTCGTTTGGGCACCTGGAGGAAGAAGGGTGCCTGGGGGGGAGCAGCCGGGCTGGCGGAGGGGCTGTGCAGGCCGCGCAGCTCTAGCCCCACCGTGGCTCCATCGATGAACAGAGGACGAGGCCGGGCAGCGCGGAGTCCCAACTGGGGTGGCGGCCGGGCCGGGGATGGCGGGGACCCCCAACAATGCAGCAGTGGCCACTGTCACCAGAGCCGCTGCCTCCCGTCCTGCTCACCCTTCCCGCTCATTCGGCTGAGGACACGGCGGAGGCCGGGCCAGGGGCGGCGGGGACCCCCGACGATGCTGCCATAAGAGAGAGAGAGAAAGAGAGAGGAAAGAGAGAAAAAGAAAGGGAGGAAACAGAGAGAGAGAGAGGAAAGAGAAAAAGAGAGGAAAGAGAGAGAAATGGGGACAGGAAAGAGAAAAAGAGGAAAAAGGGAGAGAGAAGAGAGAGGAAAGAGAGAGAAAGAAGAGAGAGAGGAAAGAGAAAGAGAAAGGGGAAAGAGAGGAAAGAGAAATGAAAGAAATAGGAAAAGAGAGAGGAAAGAGAGAAAGAGAAAGGGAGGAGAGAAAGAGAAAAGAGAGAAGAGATAGAGGAAAGAGAAAGAGAGGAAAGAGAAAGAAAGAGAGAAAGAGGGAGAAGAATGGCGCTTCTCCAACCAGGCTGGGTGGAGCCAGTAGAGTGGCCTTCCTGCCCCCCCCTCCCCGGCCAGCTGGATGGGGGGTTGGAGGTCACCACAACATGAGGAACTGTATTAAAGGGTCGCGGCATTTGGAAGGTTGAGAACCACTGATCTATATAAATAAAAATGTAAATTTTGTTTGTTCAAAATCTTAAATCTCCAAAAGTTCTTCACCGATTGCTTTGAAATTTTGATACACCGTTGCATTCGAATACGCGTGTGTTTTTATATACCTATATTATATTGATGTCACACCTGTGACAGGTAAAAACAGGCTTTTTGTGAAAAACAACAGCTAGTAGAATAATAGAGTTGGAAGGGACGTTGGAGGTCTTCTAGTCCAACTCCCTGTTCGAGTAGGAGATCCTATACTATTTCAGATAAATGTTTGCCCAGTTTCTTTTTGAAAGCCTCCAGTGATGGAGCATCCACAACTTCTGAAGGCAAGTTGTTCCATTGGTTGATTGCTCAGACCATTAGAAATTTCTCCTTACTTCTAGATTGCTTATCTCCTTGGTTAGTTTCCATCCTTGTTTCTCGTCTTGCCTTTTGGTGCTCTGGAAAATAGTTTCATACACACACCCTGCCTTTGCAGAAGCCCTTCAAATATTGGAACAGTGCTATGTCTCCCTTAGTTCTTCTTTTCATTAGATATACCTAATCCCTGTAATCATTCTTCATATCATCCAGTTCATTTTTGTTGCTCTTCTCTGCACTCTTTCCAGAGTCTCAACATCTTTTTTTATATTATGATGATCAGAACTGGATGCAGTATTCAACTGTGGTCTTACTAAGGCAGTGGTTCTCAACCTTCCTAATGCTGCGACCCTTTAATACAGTTCCTCATGTTGTGGTGACCCCCCAACCCCCCATCCAGCTGTCCAGGGAGGGGGGGCAGGAAGGCCGCTCCACTGGCTCCACCCAGCCTGGTTGGAGAAGCGCCATTCTTCTCCCTCTTTCTCTCTCTCTCTTTCCTCTCTTTCTTTCCTCTCTCTTCTCTCTTTCTCTTTCTTTCCTCCCTTTCTCTTTCTCTCTTTCCTCTCTCTTTTCCTCTATTTCTCTCTTTTCTCTCTTATGACAGCATCGTCGGGGATCCCCTTCACCCCCGGCCCGGCCTCCGCCATGTCCTCAGCCGAACAGGCAGGGAGGGGGAGCAGGACAGGAGTAGCAGCTCCGGTGATGGCAGCCACTGCTGCATCGTCGGGGATCCCCGCTGCCCCCGGCCCGGCGCCCCCCCGCTGGGAATTCGAACTGCCTGGCCTCGTCCTTCATCCATTGCTGGAGCCGCAGTGGGGGCTGGAGCCACGCGGCCCGCCAGCCCCTCCGCCAGCCTGGCTGCTCCCCCCCAAGCACCTCTCTTCCTCCTGGCGTCCGCTCGAGTCACCTTGGGGGCAGCATGAGGAAGGAGAGAAGGGCGAGAAAACTCCTGCTGCCGCCCCAGCTGGGACTCCGCGCTGCCCGGCCTCACCCTCCGCCCATCTGATGGAGCCGCGGTGGGGACTGGTGCCGCGTGGCCCCTGCCAGCCCCTCTGCAGCCTGGCTGCTCCCCCCAGGCACCCCTTTTGCCCCAGTGCCCGCCTGAGCCACCTTGGGGCAGTAGGAGGAAGAAGGAGAGGAGGAAGAGGATGGCAAGGAAGATGCCGCCAGTGCTGGGCCCCAAGAGGCGGCTCTCCTCTCCTCCTTCTTCCTTCCAGGCAGCCTGTACTCCGGCGCGTCTTCCTGTCCAGCGGATCCAATGGTCGGGCTGGCTGGGGATCGCAGGGGCTGCTCTCCATTGGGCCGCGGCTTGCAGGAGAGCTGGCCACTCAGTGGAGCCTCTAGCGGGCTGCTCCCAGCAGGGATCCCGGGCCGCGCTTCTCCCAGGGGGTAGGGCACCCAGGCGCAGGGCCAATCAGGAGCCTTACAAAAGGTAAGTCCGCCTGAGAGAGAGAAGAGAAGCGAAAGTGCCTCTCTCTCTCTGCAAATGGTGGAGGCCATGCAGAGACGGATGCAGAACGGTGTCACAGTTCCTAAGACCATCGGAAATATGTGTTTTCCGATGGTCTTAGGCGACCCCTATGAAAGGGTCGTTCGACCCCCAAAAGGGTCACCACCCACAGGTTGAAAACCGCTGTACTAAGGTTTTGTAAAATGGTACTAGAACTTCACGCAATCTTGATTCTATCTCTATTAATTATATATTTTTGTACTGCGGAAATATAATTAATTTTTAGTTTTTAGCTTCAATTTTTTCAATGATTGTGGAATATTAGACTCTAGGATATCTTGATATTTAATTAAATCTATTTTTTCTTTCACTCATGCAGTGTTTTCTATGCAACAGATTGTTATCTATTCCAAAGCATAACAGAGTCATTCCCAAGTTTACCCACTGGTGAAATATTTTTCCTTCAAGGGTAGAATAAAAGAGCTTTTAATGCAGTCACTATCAAGTATGGTATAGTTTCATAGAATCATAGGGTGGGAAGGGACTTTGGAGGGCTTCTAGTCCAACCCGCTGCCCAAGGCAGAAGTCCTGATGGTGTCTCGGAAAAATGGTTCACCAATGTTTTCTTGAAAACCTCCAGTGATGGAGAACCCACAACTTCAAGAAACAAGCTGTTTCACTGATTAAATCTCCTGTCTGTCTGGAAATTTTTATTTTAAGATTGGATCTCTCTCTAATGAGCTTCTACCTATTGCTTCTTGTCCTACCTCAGGTTCTATGGAGAGTAAATCAATGTTCTCTTCCTACAATAGCCCTTCAAGTAGTGGAAGACTGATATCATGTGTCCCCTAAGCCTTCTGTTCATTCAGCTAAACATATCTGGTAACCTTAACTGTTCTTCAGAGGATATGGCCTTCAGATCCCTTTTCATTTTTGTTGCTCTTCTCTGCAGTTACTCAGCATCTTCTTTCTATTGTGGTGGCTAGACTGGACACAGTATTCCAAATTTGGCCTCATCAGGGCAACATACAGCCGTTATATCACTTCTTTTGATCTTGATATATCCCTCTGTTGATGCAGCCTAGACTGCATTGATTTTTTGGGCAGCTGCAACACTCTGATAAAACATGGGTAAGCGGATGTCCATCAGGACATTTAGATACCTCCTAGAGCAGCAGTTCTCAATCTGTGGGTTGCGACCCCATTTCGGGTCGAACGACCATTTCACGGGGGTTGCCAAACAACACAGTCCGCCATTTTTTCCCCTTTTCCTTAGCTGTGCTATTCCCTTTTATTCTATTGGCTTTTGAAAGCCAATAGAATAGACTCTCTTGAATTCTTTCAAAAGCCAATAGGAATTGTCCAGGCTGTCTCTGCCCTGCTGAGTCCGCCAAAAGTCCCATTCTGCAAACGGTGCTGCAAGTTGTCTGCAGTGAAGGCGAACTGTCTGGAAGTTTCCACCCCTCCCTGCTGAGCAACTACTAAAAATGTAAGTAAAAGAGGGCCAGGGGTGGGAGGTGGGAGGCTGGCGGGCGCAGGGAGGGTTGCTGGCGCTTGGGGCCTGGCAGTGCCTTACCTCCCTTGGGCTGGGCCAGCTGGTGGCCCAGCCCGTGGTCAGCCTGCTCCGTCTCTGCCGCTTGCCAGCTACGCCTCAGCCGGCACGGCGCTCCTGGGCAGGGAAAGTCCTCAACTTATGACCGGTTGGGTAGTCCTCGACTTACGACCGGCTGGGTAGTCCTCGACTTACGACCAGCTGGGTATTCCTCGACTTACGACCGGTTGGGGGTCACGGCATTAAAAAGGTTGAGAACCACTGTCCTAGAGGCATTATTATGAGCTATATACTGCTTATCCTGTATCTGTGCATCTGGTTTTTCCTGCCTAAGTCCAACATTTTATTTTTCTTGCCACTGAATTGTACCTTATTGAATAAGGCCCAACAAGGGCTCAAGTCTTTCAAGATCTTTTTCCCGAAGTGTTAGCAATACCTGTCCAGCTTTATATCATCTGCAAATCTGATGAACATCCTTCAATCCTCTTGTCCTGGTCATTTATGAAAATATTGAAGACCAATGGGCTTAAAAAAAACCTTGAAAAACTCCACTACATGCTTCCCTCCACCCAAATATAATCCACTGAGGACCACATGGTGAGCGGGGTTGGTCAGCCAACTGTAGATCTTTTGTGTAGTGGTAATGTCTCTTCTGCACTTTGTTCTATTTTACCAAGAAGCAGAATATAGCTTACTTTATGAAATATTGAAATTTAAGTATACTATATCCACAGCATTTTCTTGTCAACTAATTTAGTCACTTTATCTAAAACAGTAAGATTTTTTTGGTATGACTTATACTTCTTAACAAACCCATGCTGGATTCCAGGAATCACCTGTTTCTGGAATCAGAGAAAAAATAAATACATTCTAATCTTTTACAAAAGCAAATTACCACTGAAGTGTTTTAAGTTTTCAACAAAGAATGCATAACTAAATTTTAAAAGAATATAATAAATTACAAGTTTTACTGAATTGTTTGGTAAACAATAACTACTAAGTGTAGCATTTTAAACTAGTTCCAAGCATACAATTTTCTTACCTTAGTGTAAACAATGAATTAATTTTGGGATATAAGTCACTATTTTCATACAACTGGATGTGCTGTTGACCGGTGACATGTTCTTGCCAATTAACACATACGGACTTCTGAATTCCGACATTATGAGTTCGCTCTTTTTGCCCCTCACTGTCAATTTTTAGTACACTAGAATCTTCTACCAAGATCTGGAGGAATTTTTGAAGTCTAACTAGAACATTCACCCTCCATTGTTGAGACATCATTCTGCGATTAGGATGAACAGAAATCATCCAACTCATTTTATTTCTAGTTTTCTGCTGTGTTGACAGTTGCTGATGAGAAATAAGTTCCACAAAGTTATTCAGTAATACACTACTGTGATCCTTCAGGAGAGTAGGGTATTCCTTCAAAAAAATATCCAATATCTTCAAAGAATCTTCCTGAATTTCTTCACTGATGTGAGTCATGGCACTAGAAAGATGAGCACTCATTAAAGGGAAGAATGGAGAGATATGCTCAGCTCGTATTTTGGGAGCCAGGAACTGAAGAAGGCAAACTGCTGCTTTTCGCACACTAGAATCCTTGTCTGTAAACACAGCTGCTAACTCACTCAGTATATTTGAAAAGTGAGCATCCATTATGAATGGATACTGAGACAGTAGATCTTTGAGTCCAAAAAGTGCACTTTGTTTAACTCCTGCACTATAGTGATTCATCTGTGAAAGCAGATCCTAAAATATAACATAAAACATTTCTGTTAATACTCTTTTCATTGTAAAATATTTTAAATATATAACATATTTAAGCATTTTCCTCTGCAACTGCTTCTTGAAAGCATATTTTTAAAAAAATAGTGAGATAATTGATTGAAAATTGTAACATAAAGAGCTGAATATGATATGCAGGATACAACTGACATAAAGCAGAGAAAGCTATAATTTATAACAGATAATAAACTATGGTGATTAAAAATTATCCCAGGGTCATTCTAAATGAAAAAAACATGGAGTACTTATAAAATTATATAGAGATCTGGACTATATATGGAAATGAAATACTTATTAGATTACGTAAAGATCCGAACTACAGTGAGAGAAAAACTTATTTTCCGCTGATTTTGTACATTTGCCCACAGACAAAGAAATGATTAGTCTATAATTTTAATGATAGGTTTATTTTAACAGTGAGAGACAGAATAACAACATAAAAATCCAGAAAAAAGCATTTCAAAAAAGTTATAAATTGATTTGCATTTTAATGAGTGAGGTAAGTATTTGATCCCCTATCAATCAGCAAGATTTCAGGCTCACAGGTATCTTTTATAAAAGTAATGAGCTGAGATTAGGAGCACTCTCTTAAAGTGCTGTCCACAGAAGCAATCAATCAATCAGATTCCAAACTTTCCATCATGGCTAAGACCAAAGAGCTGTCCAAGGATGTCAGGGACAAAATTGTAGATGTACACAAAGCTTGAATGGGCTACAAGACTATCACCAAGCAGCTTGATGAGAAGGAGAAAAATAGTTGGTACGATTATTCGCAAATGGAAGAAACACAAAATAACTGTCCATCTTCCTCGGTCTGGGGCTTGCAAGATTTCACCTCATGGAATTTCAATGTTCATGAGAATGATGAGGAATAAGCCCAGAACTACAAAGGAGAATCTTGACAATGATCTCAAGGCAGCTGGAACCTTAGTCACCAAGCAAACAATTGGGAACATGCTACACTGTGAAAGACTGAAATTCTACAGTGCCCACAAGGTCCTCCTGCTCAAGAAAGCACATGTAGTGGCTTCCAGTTCCGGCGCCTTCGGACTCATGGGAAAAGTTTCCTCCCCCGTCTGGTTTCTCTCCATCGAAAGATCCTGGAAAGGGTCAAAAGTCACCCAGGAGGGCGACCACCGCTGAGGAGGATCCTCGTCTGAGGTTGGAAAAGCGGCAGCCCTCCTCCTTGAGTTGAGGCAGCTCCTTTGGATTGACGGAAGAAAGGTCGGCCATTAACATGGCCGACCATCTAACTGCACCAGCTGAAAGCCAAAAGCACTACTAAGCTCAATGAAGCACTGTGGAAAATCTGGGTGACACCTTTCCTTTTCTGTCTCTTTACCCTAATTACCTTCCTGTGAAAACTCCTTGAAACTCTTTCTCTGCTCTCAATTCAGCAGCATTTGCATACTTGGGAATTTAAGCTTCGGAAAGAAAAGAATAACTAACTTTAACAACTAGATAATTGGATCTTTGCTCTGTGAATACCTTGGGGTTCCAAAATTTATTATAGAGACTTATCATTTACCTAAACCAGTGGTGGCGAACCTATGGCACGCAGAGCCATCCCTGTGGGCAGGCCCGCCATCACCCTGGAGAGAGGTGGGGTCAGACTGCTCCCTTTTGCCTCTCCACGTGCACCTGCACTCCTGGCTCTCTTTCTCTCTGCACTGAGAGCCTGGAAGGAACTGCAAGGGCTGACTGGATCCGGGCTGGATGGTGGAAAAGGCCTCTGTTGCCTGGATCGGCCGTGGGGGGGGTGAAATCCCCCACCCGCCGCGCAGATCGCCCTGCCGCCATTTCCCCCCATCTACCATGCAGATTGCACGGCTGCCGTTCTCCCCCGTTGCATTTTCCAGGCCTCCGGTGCCCACAATGAGCCGCTGAAGTGCCATAAAATCGCTCCACGGCCATGGATGCAAGTTCCAGAGGCTTCGAAAACACTTCTGCTGCCTGGGCGGCACAAGCAGCAGAGAGAAATAAAGATTGAGCCAGCAGGGAAGCAAAAGTGTCAGGACGCCTTCCCAAACTCCAAAAGTCACGCGTCCTACTTTCCTAGCTTGCCTTTTCAAACTCCAAATTTGCACGTCCTACACTTGCCTTCCCAAACAACAAACTTGTGCATTCTACACTCGCCTTCACAAACTCCAAACTCGCACGTGCGTCCTACATTCCTCATCCTACTCCAGTTTGGAGTTTGGGAAGGCGAGCAAGGAAAATAGGACGCGTGAGTTTGGAAAGGCCAGCAGTAGGACACGCGAGTTTGGAGTTTGGGAAGGCGAGCAGAGCCTTAACATAAAAGGCTGGTTCTGCTTTCAAAAAAAGAAAGGAGGGAAGATTATTGGGCTTCTTGCATCATTCCTACTTGAAGCCATCCTTTGCAACAAGGAAAAATCTAGTCTATCAAACGCTACCCAACATTTCAAATCTGTGTGCATCGAGAGGACAGCAATTTTTAAGACACCAGTCCTGCACATTTATATCTAGGAATAAATCTCATCAAACTCATGAGGCTGTGAAACACAGAATGCAAACACACACACACATACACCACTCTGACATGAATTCACTGAATGACTAAGTGGGGAAAATGTAACGTTGCTATTAAATCCCAACATGACTCCCATGGAAGATGCACAATGGAGGGGGGGGCGGCAGGGGTCTGCTGTTGTGCGGAGTAGGATTAGAGAGGGAGGGAGCCAGCCTCCCTCTTCCTCCTCCCAAACTCACTTGCGATAAGCACACCCACCAGCTGCTGAATGAACCTTGGTGTCAGAATCCAATTATATTTCATCTTTAATTATCAAATATAGAAACTCCCAATTCTGCCTTCTCTGGATTCTGCCATAAGAGGGAGAGAAGGGGGAGAACAAAGGGGCTTTATGGCCCTCACTTCCTTCAGTAGACTTCTAAGAAACTGAATGTGTTTATTGCACATCAAAGAAAGAATTTGAATGTAACTAGCATCAAAGAACCTTACGCTGACAAAAGGAGCTAATTACCTTTCATGTAGTTTATCTGAAGTCTCTATACAGACGGAAGAAAGAAGCAAAGGGGTGGAATTGTGATGCCTGAAACTATCACTGGAAGGGGGGGGGGGTGATTGGGTGGGACTGCTGGGGAACCCCTTAAAACCTTGAATGGGAGAGCTTGGACCCCAAGTCCTGTCTAGCATGCCTGCAACCACTTCTTCTTAATAAAGGATTCCTGTTGGAAGAATTATTCCAAGAGTTCTGTCTTCTTAAGATGCAAAGTGGGGTGGGTCCTTACATTAGACAGGACTTGCAAAATTAATCCACCTGGAAGGGAGACCCTTGCCGGGGGATTTTGCAAAAATTTACCATGTCAGACAATGGAGCAAGAGAGGGGGAAAACTCCCTGGAAAGAGAGCCGCTGATCCAGTTGGAACCTTGCCAGATGTTGGGATCCGAGAGGTCAGATTCCTCAGGAGAAGAAGTGGTGGAGACACGGGACCACAAGCCTCGCGTTGGAAAGAAAAGTGAGTGCGGAAAGGAATCAAGAAAGGTGACCCTGAGACGGGGGACCAAGCAACCAGAATGGAAGCAGGAGATGGAGAAATCCCTGCACGCAAGTGAAGAGGGAGGAAGCTGGGCACCGTACTCAGACTGGATCCTAGAGAAAGCTATTGACCTGATGAAGAGAACTCTCAGCTTCCTAGGAGAGAAGAATCCTGAGCCCTATGGCCGCCCCAGCTCCTGGAGCCGCAAAGGGAGAGACACCGAGGGGGATGTGGAACCTGCAACCCCAGGGACATCTACTGATCCAGTAGCCCCCACCCCCTACCAGACCACAGATGGCAATCTGGACGGAAGACACTACCACCCACAACGGAGGCACCGATCCATTCCAAGACGTCCACCGTTGGAGGTAAATTCAAAGGGGAGCCAACAAGCTTGGGGTTTTTCCTAACCCAAGTCCTCAGCTACATGGAGGAATATGGGCAGGACATTCCCAGCGACAAGGCCCGCATCCGGATCGTGCAATCTGCCCTGGATGGACCAGCTGCAGATTGGGTGGTGAACTTGCATGACTCCAATGCCCCAGAACTCAGTAACTTCAACCGTTTCATGTCCTCTTTGAGAAGACGATTTGAAGACCCCCTGGCTGATCGCAAAGCCCGTGAAAGGATAAAACGATGAGGCAAGGCAAACACCCAGTGGCTGAGTATACACAAGAATTCCGGGCCATTGCCAGCAAACTGAATTGGCCAGAAGACATCCTCCTTGGCCATTTCAAAGACGGACTAAACTATGATCTATATGATGCTTGCCTGCCCCGAGGGGACCCACATCGACTTGAGGAATGGTACGTCTTGGCAGAGGAAGCAGAGATCGACATATTGAAGAGGCACCGCCGAGGAAAACAATGGAGCCGCCCCCCGCCTGAGCTGACACACCAACCGGTGAAATCATCGGATACAGCCAAGAAGCAAATGGGGTGTTTCAAGTGCGGAAGAGAAGGGCATCGAGCTGTAGAATGCCGCTCAAAGGCCCCCCAGCACAACCCAGACAGATCCCCAATCAACAAACCCGGAAAGTATTCAGCTAAGCCAAAAGAAACAGCCATGAGAATGATGGAAATTGCAGAAACCCCCACCTTCTGCTCACCAAGGGGAAAGAACTCCAGCCTACACCACAGGGCCGGTGGATGCCTCAGATGACAGCTCGGAGGGCGAACCCCTGGTAAGTGGATGCATCACACCCATCTTCAAAACAGTGACTATATTAATCCCCCCCATCCCGAAGCTGTGAAGGTGAAAGCCTTAATAGACTCTGGCTGCACCCGCTGCCTCATTAGCCCAACACTAGTGGGGAATCTGGGCATCCATCCAGGAGACTGGAACAACCAATCTCATTTGGCCAGTTAGATGGATCCATAGCAGGGGGGGTGCCAGCTACCCTAGCCACTCTACCAATACACCTCTCCCTGGGCAACATGAAGAG